TAGCTCCAAATCAGCGATACTACATTTTTACTGATAGCGTCGATGTCCAAAAATATATTTCCGAATATTTAAAAAATACATATAATGAATCTGTTCGAATTTTCTTTTGCACCAAACGTGTTCGGGATATAGAAGATCCCGAAGCTCAAATAAATTGTGTTAAAGACTATCACAAAAATAATCATAATGGTATTATTGAAACATTGAATCAATTTAAACTCAAATATTATTAGCCGAATATGCGTTGCACTATATCGAATTTCATTAATCAGTGTGATATCTGTCTTCGTAACAAATACGAAAGACATCGATATAAACTTCCTCTTCAAGGTCCACTTCTAGGTGAAAAACCATTTGATATTTTACATATTGATACATTTTCATGCTCTAAAGGAAATTTTTTGACAATTGTCGATTCTTTCTCCAAGTATGCCCAAGTCTATCAAATACCCGACAAAACTACAGTTACAATATTAAGCAAATTACGACACTATTTTTCACACCACAATTATCCTAAGAAAATTATATCTGACGAAGGCACATAATTTTCTAATAATCTTTTCAAACAACTCATGAAACTTCACAAAATCGAACTTCATTTCATTACAATAAATGATCCAAATTCTAACAGTCCCGTCGAGCGTTTTCACTCCACTTTTAGAGAAAAACTCAGAGTTATGAAAGATCAACGTCCTAAAGAATATTTTCAAGATTTAGTCACTCATTGCGTTCTTGTCTATAATCAATCAATACATTCTGTAACTGGCTATTCTCCATTTTCAATTCTCTATGGTCCCTATGCTCAAGAAATTCAATTTGAAAATGGTATGCCTGTATATGAAAAATATAACCAACAGCATAAAGATGAACTCCGACCTTTTATTGACTCTCTGTATCGCAAACTTTATCATAAGGAAACTGAAATTTTAAATAAACGTAACGAAAAACTTCAGGAATCTACCCCGGCTCCTAAGCCCATTTATATTCACAAAAATCCTCGAAATAAGCTCACAGCACCCTATATAGCAGCCAAAGTCACTTCGGCAAAACAAACTCAAATTGAGGCTGTAACTTCCAAAAACAGACCTACAAACACCCATCCCAGAAATATAAAACGCTTACGCAAGGCTTCATTGTTACAGGACAATCCACCTGCTGAGCCACAACCTGGCCCTTCAAGTGCACCCGATCCCAAATAATGGATACTATCAGGAGTTTATTAGTCAAGCTCTGATGTTTGATCACTCTCATCGTCATATTTTAACCATTAATTTAACTTCTATTGATACTTCTCTAAAATTTCTACTTCTTGTTATCAGAATATAATCACTCAGTATAGCATTTTATACCAGGAAACTCTGGATAATTTTCATAAATTAATTCGTTCTCGAAGAAAGCGTGGTCTAGTAAATCTTTTAGGTACTGTGATAAAATCAATCACTGGAAATCTCGATGAAGATAATCGGATATTTTTGGAAAAACATATTGATGCCCTTGAAAAGAAGCAATCAGAAATTGTTACTGTTGTCAATAATTCCACTAGCTACGCCTTAAACACTATAAAAAGATATAATAACTTTATTACAGCATTCAACAAAAATTCTGTCAAAGTCGCACAGGAGATTAATTATTTGAAAGATGGCCTCAAAAAATATTTTGCCATTCATAGTCAAATTTCCAGCATTAATACATTAAATCAATTTCTTCTAAAAATTTTGAGAACATAATGTAGAACTTTTCACAATATCAGAAATTACTGATCTGGAAAATCATTTAAAATTCTTCTATAAGAAAACTTGTCTATTATCTGATGATTGACATCCTTTTGAATTAATTGAAAATTCTCAAAATACAGTAGTGACAACGGATACTCAAATTCTGATTATCCTAAAAGTCCCCATCCTAGATGAACATCAGTTCCCTATTTACCATATTTACCCCATCCATAACAAACACGCTATAATTTTGATACCTCCTGCCGAATACTATGGATATAATGATTGGTACCCCGAATGTAAACACACTCAGAAGAAAACTATCTGCCAATCAAAGTCGTTAAGCAAATGCCAATTGCCAACTTTGGAATACTGCTATAACAGTCTTCCAACAACCGATTATCCACCGCACAGAGAAAAGCCTGATAATAATGAGTACATACAAGCAAATCCAAATTTTGGAAATCTATTCCAGAAAAGCTATAAATGTCAGTCAGTCAGTCTTAATACAGTCAAATTGTGCAGTAAAAATTGATGAAAAATGGTACACCACTACAAGTCAGAAAATCCAGGTCCCAGACGTCATACCAGTGAAAATCAGTCCGAAATTTCAAATTCACTTGGACCAAATTGAGAAAATTCAAGAGAGTCCCCAGCTGTCCATTATACAACCGATGCATCTCAAGCCGATCTTCATATCGTCCACATCATGGATTGTTGCAACCCTGTACGTTATCTTGGTTGCAACGATAATTTACTTTGTCTCAAGAAAACGTAAAAGACTACACACCCTATTCTTCAAGCCAAGAATTCCATTGAAGGATCTTTAACTTCAAGAAATTCAACCAGAGAAGTTCGAGGACGAACTTCCAGCCTAAGGAGGGAGGAGTTATGTGTCCATGCCGGACATGCATATCGTGTATCAGCACAATGAACGGAGCTTCACCTTTGTAGATTTTGCAAGATAGACATTTTTCATTTTTATTATCTTTTGAATTCAGTTAGTTCAGTGTTGTACTCCTGCTTGTAACAATCACTTGTCTCCAAAATAAAACTTTTTTAAAAAGTAATTTTCCGGTAACGGGAATTTAACGCGTAGATGTTTATCCGCCGCAGTACTGACGTAATCATCTATCGGATAACAAGTGACAGTTAATTGTTTCCATCACCGAGATATTTTCGCGCGCCGTTTACTCTACAAATACAGTTTATGGACATTGAATGTAAGTACTTTATCATCATTTATAAATTATTCTAAGCAGTAATTATTATAGTTTAAAGTTTAGGTTATTTTATGTCGCCGGGATTGATGTTTTTTTTTTATATAAATAGAAGGTTGGAACGAGACGGCCGGGTAAAACCGGACACAATTTTGTCGGGTACCCTCGGACGCTTTTTGAGTGGAGAGAAAATCTTTATTTAAATATTTCTGTATTACATCGGTATTTTATAATAAGAGATTAATTATAGTCCATTTGTTTATTGCAGACACCCTGAAAAATGCCAAAATTTAAGGAAAGAGTGACTGAAAGAGGGAATTGGGATACAGATAGAATGAAACAGGCTATACAAAGTGTTGAAGAAAAGTTTTCGCTTAAAGAAGCAGCTGACAGGTATGTCGTGCCGAGAAGTAGGTACTCTTCAGGATCGGATAAAAGCTCTTAATAGTGGATAACAGGTTAACTTGGTACCAAAACTGGGGAGATTTAAAAGCATAGCAATCTCAGATTTATATGTAGAGCTGGCAACGTTGCGGGATATTAATGCACAATCTGCCAACCATGTCGCACCTTAAAAAAATGGCCGCTGACAACCACACAAGTCATCTTGTTGTCAGTGAATAGCATGGAATTAAAGCTTCTTCAGTGTAAATAATCAAATCCAAGCGAATAACCAAAATTTCTGTGTTATGTGCCGCGGTTATAATATGGTTCAAGATGACACACGGGTTGATGACGTCAGTTTCACGAATCGCTTGAACGCGTTGGTTTTAACCGATTCCTCTGTGCCTACATCATTTTTTTATAAATTGTGTGTTTCAAGTAATGATTTTCAGTTCCAGTTTCTGTCAACCATGTTTCAAGATTGGAGTGGGTTAAAAAAATACAGGTGAGTACCTACATGACATTAATCAAATCCAAGCGAATAACCAAAATTTCTGTGTTATGTGCCGCGGTTATAATATGGTTCAAGATGACACACGGCTTGATGACGTCAGTTACACGAATCGCTTGAACGCGTTGGTTTTAACCGCGGTTTTGTTGCAAGTTGTTTATTTTAGAAAAGCGCGTATATAATCTCTGAATATTTTTATTATCACTTAATAATCGGTGCTTTTTCGTCTACAACTGTATATGGAAAGTTTAAATAAGAAACCTTTCATAATATTCATGGGAGAAATGTTTTTTTCAGATTTTTTTTTTGAATGATGGAACCATGGCTTTGTAGCTATGATAACTTTCAATTCTCTAAATTTTTCCGAATGTCAAAAAAAACATTTATTGATTCAGCAGAAATGATGAAAAAAGAAATTAGCAAAACCGTACACACGTAGATATCAACTAGTGAGTTTATATGGCCATATTTTAATATTCTTGTGGTATATGGCTACACAGGATACTTTGTTAAGCATAGGAACTACATTTAAAGTGTCCCCAACAACCGTAATGAGTATAACTAATAAGGTGCTCCACTTTAAGGTAAAACTGAAGTCAGCCTGTATCAATTTTCTCAAAAATGAAGCTGAAGTACAATAACAATATCAAATACCCGGCAAAATTCTAACTTGTCACATTTCAAATAATAACCAGAAATATAAAACTACTCTTGAGTTGGGTAAATACCACAATTTTGCGGTGATAACTATGACATATAACAGCTGATTCGTGACGTCACGGATCTTATAACCAAACTGAAACTACACTCGCTTTAATGGATCGGTAAATACCAACCCAAAGTGGTAAATACCATTTCCTTTTGGTTATCCGCTTGAATTTGATTATTGATTCTGATAATATTGTAAAATTGCTCAGGGCATTTATTATTTTTCACTTAAATCTTTTTGATTAAAGTTATTTTCCCAATTATATTGTTTTATTTATCACTCTTGAACGAACCCAATCACAAATACACGTGAGGTGTTTGAATTGTTTTTCCTAATGCAAAATTAATTTTTGTTATTAGGAAAACCATTCAAAACAACCAAATAAAGATGGCAATGAGTGACAGATGTGGTGAGAAAGTAGGCAACCATGAGAGTATCGCCGTATGTCATTGTAAGAAACATGGCGGCATATGTCATTTCGTGGAATTGTTCTGAGTAGGCAGGCGTTTTTTCTGTGTCATATTTGTTTTTTCACCACGACAACATGGCGACATTCGTGTTGCTGGTTGAATTACACTGAGTTAGCATTCTTTCAGTGAATATTTTGTGATTCTTTCGGTGTGGTGTATATGTTTTGTGCATATCATTGTTGTTTAGTTGTTTTATTTGTAACAGAATAGAAATAGTTTAGTTATAAAGAAGCAGCGGGTAGGTCTGGAATAAAATATGAAGCTGCTGCTAATACTTCTTTTTGCTCTTGTGGCAGTGAACTGCGAATTTCAAAGGTGAGTCCATAGCATACTGCATACTGCAATTACGTATATTGTCGGTTCCGGGCTGCCAAGATTTGCAAAATAGTGTCTACTTATGTCTAAAAATATAATGCATTTCCAACTGATACTTTGTCCAAGTGGAATTTTACATTATTGCGACGTTTCTCTTTTAATTTTCATCCTGTTGTTTAACCTGGAATTAGTACTTTTCAGTTCTCTACTGGACTTGTGCCGATTCAGCTCTTTTTCCACATACCGGTAATGGTACGACTCTACCGTACTTTATTGGTGATATTTGTTTACCTATAAAAGATGTTTCTGATTCTCAAGATTTTCATGACAAAGAACTAATAAAAGACAGACAAGGAATGCTAAAATGAAGCTAAAAAAATGATGTGTTAGCATCTATTACAGTTTCATTATTTCCTCTTTTTATGCTGAGTACTGCTGTTTATACTTAAACCACAATGTATTTTTATAAATTGAGAAACTGTGTTTGTAAAACTGAACTTCAGGATACAGGACATTAATTATTGTATAAGTTAAATCACAATTTTGTTTTCATAATTTATATCTTTTCAGTCTTGCTACTGCTGATATCAAATATACCTCAATAACTTATTAACATTTGTCTTAGTTTCACAAATTTTATAAATGCTTAGAGAGATATAACTCAAATGTGTGTTTTGCTTTTTGTAGAGTTCTTCATAGGATCTATTCTGACGATTATGCAAAAATGAATAAAATATTTGTTTTTCAAAACATTCTTTTGTATGAAAGAAGTTGGGTCCAACCTAAGCTTCAGTATCAGCTACATTCAGCTAAAAGATATACTTGGACATACATGTGACCTTGACTGGTGGTCAAAGATTTTAAGAAATCTCTCCTCACAAAAAGTTTTGTAAAGTCAAAGGAATACAAATTAAAAAATTATGAACAATTGAAACACTTATCAAGACATATTAAAGAACATTAACATATACAAATATGGGCCTGAATTAATACTTTTCTGTTGAATCCAATTAATGTACTCTGGAATAGCTTTGAGCTACCAGTTGGTACTAGTATACACAATTTTGTCAGACATCCAATCCTGCAGGGCAAATATGTTTGAAGATAGAAAAGCCAGATTTCTATGTGTTGGGTTTGAACTTTATGTACAACTGTTTGATTTTATTGAAATTCATAATTACTGTTCAAATAGACATTAACTATTCAACTTATTCCATGTCAAAAGAAAATTGAATCAAATGATATCTTTGTTCTGATAATTGCCTTTATTACAAAGTATAATTTTGAAAATGTTTCATGGAATTGTGTGTGAATAGCGGTTTTCAAATCCCTATATCAAATTAAACCTTATTTATTGTAAATATCAGTCTTATACACATATTTGAATTCTATAATTTTCTAGGTGCCATTTTCTGTTAATCTCCGGTATGGTAAATAAAATGTTCCAATTTGAATACCTTTTTGTCTATTTCTTACATGATTTTAATCCAAATGCAACAACTTTACTGAAGACAAATATAATCATTGAAAAATCACATTTTATTGTTTACTATAACAAATTTCACTGCAATGTTGCAAAACTAAGGTCACAACTTATAAGAAACAGATTGAAGTGCAACAAGCTTTCATTATTCCACTACTTTATTCTTATAACACACCCCACATTTTTGAACAACTAAACATTCAACTCCAGCTGATGATTGGGAGAAAGTCTGAACTTCAGTTCTGGACAAGGAAGTAACCTTTGGTTGCACCATAAAAATAGGTCAATGATTGGGTGGCTATGAAGAAAATGAGAAATATAACTTGGATATTTTTGTTTCCATTATTTTACTCTATCAGAACTGAATATATCTGCAAAACATTGACAATTTATTCTTCTTGCCCCAGTATTATCATACATAGATTTCAATCTATATAAACACATTTAGTAGTCCCCCATCCTCAACTGGTCAAATCAAAACCACATATGGTTGAAATTCTTCTTTGCTGAATGATATTTTGGTTCCAACAGTGCTTATCCAACATGGAAACCACAGCATAACTTTCAGATGTTGACACATTTAGTGTTTGCACCAATAACTTAATGAATTGTGTGACAACCTATTGGTCTGTCCAATTATACGAAAGATATTGTTATCTAGATTCAAAACTAGATATTCTCAAAAGATAGCTTGTACACTAAATCCATCTTTAGATCATACAAAAATCTTCTATTAAACGTTTTTTTTTCACAGAATACCCTTGTATAAGTTCAAATCAATTAGAAGGAGTCTTCAGGAAGTTGGAACTGATGTAAGACAAGTTGTGTTAAATGGAAATAAGTATAGGAGTCAAAGTGGACCAGTGCCTGAGCCCCTTTCCAACTACCTAGATGTAAGTTTCCATAGATTCTATTTCTTTCATCTTTACTAAAAACATTCAGTAAACTATAAAGCTCTGAAACCATGGAGTCATACAAGTATATGATTAAAAATATTGTAATAACTTAGCTACCAAATAAACAATCAATATTTAATCATAATATAAACAACAAATTCTAAATATATGGCATAGGTTATCATTGGTGAATATGTATCTTGGATTAAACATGACTCACTTGGGCTTGTTTGTAATAAGTATTTAATGATGGGTTTATATCACAAATGAATCATTTTTGCTTACAATTGAGTCAGATTGACCTAAGATCCTGTGACAGATATGTCAGGCATTGAACTCTAAATCTAAACAACATATCAATTAATTTTGGTGCCACTTATACCCTCAAATAGTAATAAGTTTTCAGATTTAGCATTGTTGGTTAAAACAAGTTCAAGGTATAATTCTAATTCTTTTATTGCTTTTGCATCTAATGGAAAATAGGTGGAAACTTTATTGCTCCACATATACTTCAGAGATTCTACCATGTTCATATTCAGAAGTATTCCATATCTAGTGCCATACTTTAAAAAATACTTGATATAAATAGAAAAATTGAACGCTGGAAGTCTTCACTGAAATGTTTTTGCTGATTATTATATCATTTCCATATTTTAATCTTGATCTATCAGGCGTACAGAAATACCCAAGATATATTTTTTTGAAGTGGTACTGCTTCAAATGATCATCCACATGGCCTTATAACATAAATGTATTTTATTGGTGCATATTGTTTGAAAAGTGGAAAGCACTATCAGCTGAAAAGCTTGACCCAAAATGAAGGCTAAGTTTACCTGCATTGTTACAAAATGCATTAAAAACAAAAACTCAATAACCACTATATCACTAAATGTTCCATGTTATTTTTGTAAATGCTTCATAATATTTTTTTCATTTTCAGGCTCAGTATTACGGCCCTATTAGCATTGGTACTCCACCACAAACTTTCAAGGTTGTCTTTGATACAGGATCTTCCAATTTGTGGGTGCCCTCAAAGAAGTGTCATTTTACCAACATAGCATGTTGTAAGTATTGCTCAAGACTAAGCATTTGTTTCATTTGATGTTATTGAATGAGGTATGTTTAAATGAAAAATTGTTATTTTCAGACTTCTATTCTCATATTCCTGAACGCGGTTTTCGCAATCGTATTACATATTACTGGTAGGTTTTCTATAAAATCCTTCGAACAAACTGACATTCACTTCATGTTCACTTGTAGTAAGCGCGGAATGGCCTACCAGCTCACTAGACGCTACCTAGTGCACACAACATTTTACCGATTTCTTTACATTATATAGGTTTTTGTGTGTAATATGGAAAGCTTTCATAAAAATCCTTAGTCCAATTAGACTCCTTTTGTGAAGTACTAAGAGGTTTTTAGATTTCATTATTGGGAAAGTGCCAAGATTTTTCATCATACTTTTTATACAATGCATAACATTCAGTAATGTGCAAATTTTATGTCAGTATCCTTTGCTGTCAACCTGATTATGGTTGTTTACAATACACAGTTCTATTTTTTTTTTTGCTTCAGCAAGCAAACTTTGCATGACACTTTTATGACTAGTAATGTAAAGATACATTTTTGCAGTGCTCCATAACAAGTATGACTCTTCAAAATCATCATCCTACAAGAAGAATGGAACCTCCTTTGCCATTCAGTATGGTTCTGGAAGCCTTGATGGATTCTTGTCCACTGACCATGTCTCTGTAAGCGTCTCCTCTTCTATTAAATCATTAGTTATATCAAATATTGATACACTGTTTATTGTAATTGTTATTTGTCGCTCTTATTTATTTAGTTTGGTGGGCTGACAGTTAAAGAACAAACCTTCGCCGAGGCCATGAACGAACCGGGTATGGCTTTTGTAGCTGCCAAATTCGACGGCATCTTGGGAATGGGCTACAGCAGAATTGCAGTAGATGGCGTTCCTCCAGTTTTTTACAACATGATCGATCAAGGACTCGTGAAACAACCAGTGTTCTCCTTCTACTTGAACAGGTACTTGGCAACAATTGTTTGATGCTTTCTAAAAATTACATATCACTTTGATCTAAAATACAGGGTGTTAATAAAGTGTGTAGACAAACTTTAACCATCGAATCCTTGGTCAATTTGAAGACGAAATTTCCATATGAACATGGGTCTGCAACAGCTTTGTTTTCAAGCTAGAGCATATTAGCACTAAAATAAATGATATTATTCTAAAAAATTATAAAAGAATGGAGCATATTTTATTTTGATTAAGTATGCCCTGTGACATGATTTACAGTTGTTTTCACACCCTCCATGTAAGTAGATAGTTATAATGTTAACCAGTATTTTATGAAAAAATAGCATGACAATGATTTGTTTTGATCGCAATACTTTTAATATTTAAGCATTGTGCTTATCTAGATACGTATGACGTACCCGAAAACAATTGTTAATTTATTTTCTCATATAATTCGTGACCACTTACTGTAAAAAAAAACTATTCGATATGTTATATTCTTGTCGTTCTATTCGAATGTTACTTTACTGTTCAAAACAATTGACCTTCTAAATTAATGTTTTTTCTAAAAATACAGGATAATACTGCTTTCATTTACGTTCATATTGAGCCTCAGGAACTTGTAAAACATGCAAAATTTAGCATAGGTTATACCAACTGTTCAATAAATACGATTCATTATTCATAGAAATATTTGGAATATTACTCGTATTTCTTTAGTTATAGTGCTCTAGCTCAAAAAGAAAGCTGTTATGAACCCATGTTCATATGAACATTTAGTCTTCAAATTGACCAAGGATTCAAAGGTTAAAGTGTGTCTACATACTTTATTAACACCCTGTATATGATCCTTAATGTGCTCTTGGATATATTTACATTTTGTGCAATTTTTGTTTTTAGTGGTAAACACTTATAGTCTTAACCCCTCAACAAAAAAAGATTTTTCCAATATCCTAGTTTTCAACCTTTAAATGTTATAATTGTCTTTTGATCTTATGTCATACCATACCAGATATTTTCAACATAAATTGTTGATTTAGTTTTGATTTGTACTGTTGTACCTACAATGCTAGATTCATACCCATATTCATATTAAAAATTTTAACCTTAGTACTTATAAAAAGAGTCTGATGTATTTATGTAGTACCAAGTATAATAAATTGCCTTTAGATATTAAGCAGATTACCAGCTTATCTTTGTTCAAAAGCAAATTTCGGAACCTCTTACTACTTAAGGCTTTTTATAGTACAAATGAATTTTTGTGCGAGTAACACGTTACTTTTATATGTGTTTTTGTATCCCAGTTCTTTTATGTCATGTGTTAGTTATGCACATCTTTTCTTTTTATTTTGACGTTTTGTATCATATTTAAAGGCTTACACAAATAAAGAATTATTCTATTCTATTGTGGAATACTGGATACAATATTTACAATTTTAACAGAATATTTGTAAGTCCATTCCCAACAAAACATACTTTATCGTGTAAAGTTATCACAACTATTGTTTCTCGTCGCTTTTATAGTTTTCCCCATTCTTACTATCATGTTGATACGTATCAATACATTGTTCATAATATTGCACTTCTTGTCTACTTACAGGGTTAACCACTTCATATGGTGTTTTCATATTAGGTTAAAAAGTCCTCTGTTCAGCCGGTTAACTTGAAAGTACTTTTTTGTCTATCTGGTTCATTTTGAGCTATTTTAACCTCTTTATCAACCCTCTTTTGTGTCCAGACGATATTGTTGAAGAGATGCCACTTTTCTATACAATCATTACGTTTTTTATTAGGTTCATAAATGGTATTTCTACATCTCTTTTGTTACATTATTATATTGACTTAATTTATTTAGTAAACATGTTAATCAAAATGACAAATTCTTCTTCACTTTCCTCGTTGATATATTTCTGAAGAATAAGCATTGATCTGTAAATGATGTCCGTGACTACCAGCTTACAACATGTAACTTGTTGGTCTAAGTCTTACTAGATTCCTATAAGTTATACTATTAGAGGTATACAGGATAAATAAGGGAGATTAAAAAAATCTCGACCTTTATAAAAAGATTACAAATCAAGTGACTCCATGGCTGGTCAGTATGTACAACAGAACAAATGTTTCTACATGATCACTATTTTGATTTAAGAGATCCTGCAGCGGCTCAGGGTGGTGAACTGATCCTAGGTGGGTCTGACAAAGCTCATTACAAGGGTGAATTCACTTATCTGCCAGTAGACCGTCAAGCATACTGGCAGTTCAAGATGGACAAGGTAGAAGTAGGCTCTGACAAGGTCTTTTTGCGCTAACGGATGCGAAGCCATTGCCGATACTGGAACCAGTCTCATCGCTGGACCTTCCAAGGAAGTCAACGCCATCAACAAGGTGAGATCAGACTAAGTCTTTATAAATCTGTGAGGATTGTGGCTTTATATTTTCGTTTGAGAAAGCGACATATCATGTATGATAGTCATTATCACATTATCAGTTGTAAGAGGATTACCTACAACTTTAGACATTAGCTTTTGCATAGCAGCATCAGTTTGTGAAGCACAGAATGGAGAAGTAAGGAAGGACGAATAAAGGAGAATGTAATCTTGTAGGACATAGATTTTCAAACTTCTTCATCTACTGCCCACTATGACAATTTTGAAGAGCATGGGAGGGGTCGTCTACAACAGTGCTTCTGAGAGCGAATGTCAGATGTTCTTTAGGCTCTTTATTTCCCCCATAGGTCACCAAAAGAACTCGTTATCGCTCACTTCGAGAAACATTGCTGTAGGGGGATAGGACTGGGCTAGGCGTCATTAAAATTAATCAACAAATTTAGATACGATCTTAAAGAACTAATTTTGATTTGTTTTTTTTTTCATTGGTTCGCTCTTAATCGGAGATTTGATTATCGCATTATCGCTTGACTGCGCCTGTTGCTTTAAATAATGGAATAGTTAAGAGTTCAAAGTTACCAGTTTTTATCATTTTCAGGCAATTGGGGCTACACCAATCATGGGAGGCGAATACTTGGTCAGCTGTGACTCTATCCCAAAGCTACCAACCATCAATTTTGATTTGGGTGGAAAGCAATTTTCCTTGGAGGGAAAAGACTACATCTTAAGGGTAAGTTTGAATTAGACATTGTGACTGACCATCAGTTCGACAAATTGAAACCTTGTCTGAACTTACATATAAATTTTCGTAACATGAAGAAATGCCGCGCCGGTACATAAAACTGCAAACGACAGTGTTGCACAGCTCGTCTAATGATTGATTTCCTTGTTGATTCAATAACCGTGTACCAGGATATTAGAATTTGAGAGAAAAAAAATGTAATAAGCTGGTTTACAGCATTATTATATTCTTGAGGGCCCTCGCCGTTAAGATACATAAAGCTGGGTAACTTTTTATTAAAGTCAATAGTTATGAGTTATCAGTGTAAGTGGGCAAAAAGTGGTTGAGGATGAAAATATAGTCCTTTCACTGAAATAAAGCAGTTACGTGATATTTAGTAAATTTGCATGCCAACCTTATTGCCAAATAGATCCTAAATTCGTAAGTATACTTTGAATTTCCCGGGTACATTTATGTTGGTAACAGTTTTCTGGGTTGTGACATTAATCAAATTCAAGCCGATAGCCAAATGAAAATGGTATTTACCATTTTGGATTGGTATTTACCATTTTGGATTGGTATTTACCGATCCGTTCAAGCGAGTGTGGTTATCAGTTGGTTATAAGATCCGTGACGTCATATTATTTGAAATGTGACAAGTTAGAAATTTGCCGGCTATTAGATATTTTTAATTGTACTTCAGCTTCATTTTTGGGAAACTTGATACAGGCTGACTTCAGTTTCAGCATAAAATAGAGCACCTTATTAGTTATAATCATTACGGTTGTTGGAGACACTGTAAATCTAGTTCCTATGCTTAACAAAGTATCCTGTGTAGCCATATAGCATAAGAATATTAAAATATGGCCATATAAACTCACTGGATGATGTCCACCTGTATGCGCGGTTTTGATGTTAATATCTTTTTTCGTGTTTTCCTATCATTTCTGCTAAATCAATAAATATTTTCTTTGACATGCAGAAAAGTTTAGAGAATGTGT